GGGTTTGAACTGCCAACCTTCTGGTTAGCAGTCAAGTGCCTTAGGCAGTATGCTACCAGAGCTCCCAGAATAAAGCTATACACCATGCTAAAAAAAAAAAAAAAAAAAAAAAGAGAGTAAGCTAGGGATCTAAATAAATCCACATAGCATCGTTTATGCTGCTTTCATCTTTATTTCTTCTGACATACTTGTGATACAGGTATTTCACACATAACAGCATTAAGTAGCTTCTGCATGTTTCATCAAAGCCAGAGGCAGAAGCAAAGCTCACATAGCGCCCACCACCAACTAACTCATGGCTGAGGGGGCTCACGGGAACGTCACCATCACCTTTGCGGGAGCACGGCTCCAGGGGGTTTCAGAAAAGGAAGTCATGAGAAGAAGGTCTCGTCATTCTGAGATCTTGGTAGTCATTCTCAACCGTCAGTTGTGGATTGATGTCTTTGATTTCTTGCAGTAGCTTTTGCACTTGAATATCAGATTCGTCTAACTTCAACCTGCAGGACAAAGAAAAAGATAAAATTTCTTATGCCTCTGAATTTGCTGCTTCATTCCAAACTGTCAAGTGCCTGCAAGACTCATGCTTTGGGGCTTCACAAAGCAGGGGCCACCTTTTGTATACTATGCTACACAGTAGAGTTCCACACTGATTTGAGAGGTGAAAGATAGAGTCAGGTTTATGCCATGATGATATAAAGCCAGTGTGTGACTTCAGTCGGTTGGATGATTAGCATTCTATATTTTCAGTGAGAGACTGAATTGATAAACCCACCTGTGATATGGCTCTAAAGCCTACCTACTTTATAACTTACTTTGACAACATCTACTTGGTAGACCAGAAGCACCAATTAAACAGATGAGCTGTATGCACTTGAACCTGGACAATAATGCTAGCTTCCCCTCCACCCCTTTGCCTAGAAGACCCTCGCTAGCCATTACTGTTGATTTTGACCTGAGATGACACCAAGCTCAGTTCTAAGATTTACCTTATGGGTAACCACATTCAGAAGTCCTTGGGTGGTACAAACAGTTAACGTGCTTGGCTGCCAACTGCAAGTTGGAGGTTCAAGTCCACAGAGAGGTCCCTCAGAAGGACAGGCCAGGAGAGCTACTTTCAAAAAAACAGCCATTGAAAACCTTACAGAGCACAGTTCTACTCTGACACACGTGGGGTAGCCTGAGGCAGAATCAGCTTGGCAGAGGCTGGTGTTGGTAACCACATCCAGCCATGTGCACGTGGGGATGGAGGTGTAGTAGGAGAGAATAATTAAAGCAAAATAC